CAACACTGAATGCATGGAAACCAATCTAACAGAAGTAAAAATCTGTCACTCTAAAAGTATCTGGAACTGGTTTTACATAAATCAGTATTTCACACGTACAGTTCCTTTCATGGGCTTATTATTATTTACATTCTCTGTGCCTTTGAATTACCAAGAATTTATTTGGCACTATGTCCCATTCTAATATTCCATTCTCATTAATCTCACTTAAAAAAAAATTAAAATAAATTTAGACTTTACAACATGGTGCTCTCTCATTGTCCAGTACACAGAAGTGGGGTCATTCCATAGAAGTAAGCTGTAAAAAACCACAACAATCTGTTTATAATCACTAGTTTAGGACCTTATGTCATTCAGAAAGGAGAGCATCTGTCTTTCCTTTCCCACTTTTTTCATTTCCAAGATCCAGTTGCTTATTTATTCCCTCAATCTCTTCTTCTTCCTCAAAACATTAAAAGCATATTATTGGTTTTTTGTGCAGGGCAAAGATGAGAAAGTGTGACCACACAGAGGTCAGTAGGTTGTATAAAAGAGAAAGGATTTATGCAGGATATGCAAAAGTAAGATTTTCAAAGCAAACACGTCCCCTTCTCTCCTAAAGCTACTGCAGAAATCTCACAGCTCAGAAAAGGTGGAGAAAGCAGTGGTACTACCCCACCTGGTCATAATCAGAGCATTATAAATATAATGTAAATGTGATGATATTCATAGGTGAATGAGCATCTCACAGTCTCTAGCTACCACAAGGTGGTATAGACATCCTGTGAAAGGAAACCCATTGTGGTAAAGGGTGAACAGAAAATTCTGGCACTGAACTTGTCTCCCAAGAGATCACATACCTGCCCTTCCTGTACCTCAGCTCATGAATGACAGCTCCTTGTCTTGGCTACTGCAGCAGGACTAGAGAAGTAGTGGGTTAGAAAAGCAGAGGATACATCCTCTGTAGAAAGCAAAGGATGCTGTCTTACATTCTAGGAGAAATAGAGTCTGCTAGCTTTTCAGCCAGTATTTCAAAAACCTGGGACTTAATAATTATCAACTCATTTAGAAAAGTCCAAGCATATTTATACAACTGATGAGTTTTAGATACACTGAGCAATGTAAATAATCAACTCCCTGGATAGATCAGTGAGTTACACATCATTTGAACTCTTGGTATAGAATTTGGCTTTTCCAGTTGCAAAGACACACAGGAAGGGTGTGAGGTAACAGGTCAATGAAGAAGCTGGAGTTTTTCTTGGCCTAACTCGCTAAGGTCCCATCACCAGTTATAGTTTCAGCATAGTTTACCAACCTTGGTACCCAAAACGTTCACTTAACCTTGCAGAATGTGATTTTAGGTCCTTTGAGAAAGATTCAGCAGCTAACTTGTTTGTACAGAATAAAACATGTGCTGACACTAGAAGATTATATGGAATATATGGCTTTAAACTTGGTCTGGCACAGAGGTAGATACATGCTTTGCTTCTTTCAAAAGTTACGCTTTTTCCAACTTTTCTTAGCATGGTCATTCCATGTAAGATGTCTAAGAGTCTGGGCTGAACCCTGAATTCAAAATACAGTAATAACTGTTTTCTTTTTTCTCCAGAGATCCTTGATAATCACCAAAGCAAAAGTCTTCCCATAAAGCTTCTCAGAACTACCAGAGCATGCCAAAGCATGTTTTCTTACTAGCTCAATTAGATATGTCTGGGCCTAATATTGAGAATATCCTTGAAAATTTAGATTCCCACGTCAGTGGGTGCACCGACAACTTCAGGAAAGGTTTCATTTAGGAACATGAACTTTTCATGTTCCTGAGAAACATAGCCATATGGTGATGGAGAAACACAGAAATTAAATGGTTCAGGTTAAGATTCTGTCTGTATCAATTAATCACTTGAATGGCACCCCCCAAGACATGGCACAGACCTAAACAGAAACATCACACTTGCTAATAACATAATTTCATTGCATAAAGCAACCCAGGTTTTTCAGTGGCTAAGTGCCTCTCTTCACTCTGACTTGAGTCTCCAATGCAAAAAATATTTGGACCATTTGCTATTCATATAGCAATCTACAGCAAAATACAGCTAAACCTGTAAAAATGTAGATACAAAAAAACCACTTAAAATTCTCTTTCCTTACATTTAGAAAAACTATTAGTATATTTTTCCAGAAAACAGCCTATAAACTCAAAAGCTCTTTTTATGCAATTACACCTAATCAAAATACCAATTTTCATTTGCTGAAATTAAAAACAACAGTATAATAACAGAGAGACTCATTCACATGGAAAATACACTGCAAGTGTTACTTTCTCTGCAGATTATACTATTAGAAGATTAAATCCTGTGTACACCAATGAATACGTAAATTGATATCTTCTACTCGACATCCAATTTTTAGAAATAGCACTAATTCAAACAAAAACTGCTCATTGTTTCAAGAAGCTTCATACAATGGTCTGTGATTTTATTTACCTTGGAAAAAAAGCCCGCTTTTATAATCAAAAGTTAAAAAAAAAGAATAAAAAGAAGTACATTAAGCAATTGTAGATGCAGACCAACTCAACTGGGGCACCACGACCAAAGCAAGCCCTGTAATAGTATAATGACCTTTAATGAGTGTCTGGGGAAACAATACAGTCGTAGCATAAAAGACAAAGGGCAAAACCCATCATGGCTCCACTGACACTAATTTAAAATGATTTTCAGAACAACTAAAGAATGTAAGAGAGGTAATCTGATCCACCAATCTGACCTCACTTTGATTCTGGGGCCCTGCTGCTGCCATTTCTAATTGTCAAACACTCTACATTTCACATCTGCTCATATTTAATGAAAAGCTGACTCTCCCCACCATTCTCTGAGCTAACTAGCTCTGTCAAGATGGGCATCGTCCAACCCCAGTGCACTGCAAAGAAAACACACTGATTTCTATTGAAGCCCTGCCAGTGCAGCGTTGTGTGTGCATATATATATTTTAATTGGAAAAGAAAGGCTTATGCTGCTTTGCAAAGAGTGTGAATTGGTATTGATTTTTGTACTTAGTATTAACAGTCAAAGGTGACTAGCCTCACAAGGGGAAGACTGAGATCTCTTTTGATTTGATGAAGTGATGAAGGGGGGAAAAGGCCCATAAAAGATAGGATGCTAAAAATCCTCAAAGCTGTCAATATCACTTATCCTTCAAAATATAACATAGCTCTAACATGTTTCCTAAAAAGCTCTGGCTTTTGTTGGAAATAATACCATTATTGTGGAGGGTTTTGGCTCAGCAGGCAACACAATCAAAAATGTTTACTTTATCTGCCTCTGTAGAGTCTTAAGTGAACTTGAAAGCTATGGTAAACCTACAAATTAGTTTTTCTTTCCTTGCCAAACAGTGCTAATGGCAGAAATTTTACCCACTTGCAGAGGACATATTAATTTATCCTAATCTGGTTGCTGTTAACACCAGTGCCAGGACCCAGCCACAAACTCTCTGTACCAGTCTGTACTCTACAAACTCTACCAGGCATGGTGTTACTGAGGCTGTTATACTGTACAAAAAACTGCCTGCAAAACTCTCAGTAAAGGAAGGTTTCTTGCTCACTTTTCTTAACAAAGTATGCTTTGCTGCATTTTACCCTGATAAAATTCTCATTAAAGGATAAAGCCTCCTGTGATTTAGAACAGGACTTAAAATTAGAAACCATCCACTTTATGGTGATACATGAGTTGCAAGCAAGTAGATAGCTAGGATGTTCAGAGTGCTTATACACAGAGAGATATGATTTTTGGTAAAATCTCCAAGAAATGCTATTAGAATACTTTTAATTTTTATGGTCTTCAGACAAAAGAAATGTGACAACTGTAGGATCGTTATATTTGTGACTGGAAAAATAGTTTGTAAGTCAAAACAGTTAAAGCAAAATCATTCACCACTTGGGCTACATACTGCAATATGGTACCAAAAGACAACCAGGTGCACAATCTGAAAACTACATTATAGCCTTCATAGAGGAAGGCACTTTCATCCATAATGACTTGTGTTGGAAAATGGACATGCTTCCTGACCAAAACTCCAATTTATTCTCACAGCTGTATCTAAATAATATTACAGCTTTTCTTTGCCATTTGGGTAGGGAAAGGAAAACAGCTCCTGTCCCAAGACATAGTTTTGCCTGTTAAGAATTACTAAAGAGGACAAGAAAATGAAACAAACAAACAAACAAAAAGCCATTTAACAATCTTCCTCAGTTGATGATCCAAGCTTTGGAATCCCTACAGCTTGTCCGAAGAATTAACGGCCATGCACAATTGTTCTAGGTTCTCTCTTTTCCCTCTCAACTCTGATCTTTCAAAATAGCTTTCAGGGCACATTCCAGAATGTTACTGTCCTATGGAATAGATTCTCCATTTAATTTCAAAACGTTTGTACCAGGGACTTGCACCAGCCTAGTTTTTCTAAAAAGCTGCTACAAAAAGTACAACCGATTTTACAAAAAGTACAAACAGGTCTGTGGCTTCAGTATTAGATGGACGACCTTGCTTTACTGAGAATGAAGAATTACAAACAGAACTGAAGGCAAAAGTAGCAGCACAGAGTAGAATTCCAGCTACTATGTTGTATGGTACGCTAGTGCCAGCATTATTAAAGTTACCCACTTGGCACCAGCCACAGATTTAGACACAGGTCTGGTCCTCCACCAAAGCACTTATTGCTTAATTAATGACAATTTGTATTGTATGAATTAAATAAAAAAGATGTCACCACATTGCACTACTAAGGTCCTGAAGGCTATTGCAAGAGGATGCTTCATAAAGAGCACATAAAGCAAAATAATGATTCACATTTTTTTGCATTAAAAATAAAACAGAAATATAAATACAGAGCTGTGATCAAATTTGGGGTTGATTTTTTGAAAAAGCATCAGCCCAGTAAAATCTCACAGAACTACAATGCACGACACAAGACAGGGATGATACCACAGACACCACAAACATGGAACAGCATGTGTTGGTGTTAAAACTTACAGGCACGTAAACTGGTGGAGCAATCATTAACAGAGACAGAAGAAAGTGGGAAGGCTCTCTCAAGGGTGTCCATGTTACTATGTACACTGCCTGACATGCAAGAGCAGTCACGCTCAGAGCGTCCGCAATCAAAACAACATGCCAGTCTCATTCTCTTGTAGATGGACATCTTGGCTATAACCATGTGTTGGATGGGAGGAGAGGAAGAGCAGCAGGTTAATGGCAAGGTTATATATATAACAAGGCAGCTGGAAGGTAATTTAAGGGATTTAATACAGGCCTTAGTTAATGTTAACAGTCTTGACCCAGGAAAAAAAAATGCAATGAGATTATTGATAACACTTTGGCTGTACATTAAAAGTAGGGCAAAAGATTAATTGCTCTTTATTTCTGTTCAGTCTTAGAGGGTGACCGCAGTCATGGGGGAAAATTACTGTTTACAGTCAAGTGTTTGGATCAAAATAGAACACAGTAAAAGCACAGAATAATAAGAATATGCTTTTCCCTTGGCACAATTAATACCATTGGGTTAAAATGAAAACAGAAGTTGCTAGTCCATATAGATATTTTGGCCTATCCTGTTTCCTGTAAAAATCAGAGATTTCTTCATATATAAATATATATATGTATGTACACACACACAGAAACACACATACACATATATTCTTACATACACACGCTCATACACACATATGCATTATACATACACACACATATATATAAATATATTTATTTTGAAATGTATTATAATATTTTTTTCTGTATTAAACTGTGCCAAGGAACATCTTTACTACAATTAATTATACATTAATAAAGAGTTACAAGATATTAATAAAATTTTCCAAAAAATTAATTTTGCTTACATTTTATCTTCAGGAATTCAAATCAACTCTTGACAGAATACCAAAATTTGCCCATAAAAGAGACAAAACTAAAAATGGTAAATATGCTCAACATTAAGTTCAGTTCACAAATAAGGCATCACCAAAAGCACACAGAGCATTGGTCCACTGAAACATGCTGAGCCAATCATTGGCATGGTTTCTGCTCTGGATTCAAAAGTTAATCAAGAACAAAATAACTGAACTTAGAATTAACTGTTAGCTCCAAAACAAGTGCCAGGTTAGAACATCTTTATCTTTCAGTCATCTGAATGTTCTTGTTATGTATTTCTAGAAATACAGAGCATCCTACTTTATAAATGAATGTATAATTACCATCCTGGAATTTTGTATGTCATCTAAATCAGGTATGTTTACATCTCAAGGAATCCAAAGGCCATTTAGATTGTTTCACATGTTGCACTGAACCAACTTTTGGTAATGGTTTAGATTGAACTGACTCAATTATACTAAAAAACAAAACAACACTGACAGGCAAAAACAAAACCTTAAAATCAAATGCAGAAAAAAGGTAATGTTTCTCTGGCCTGTACCTTCAGTTTAGGATGTCTTTTTCACGTTATGGTAATGACATTAAATTTAAAAGAATTTTTTTTTCCAGTTTCTTAATCCCACAGTCACCAGGAAAGAGGGATTGAAATCACTCAGATGGGTCAAGTCCTGTTCTAAGGCCTTGATGGCTTGCCATACAGTATACTTGTCAAGCAAGGGTAACATTATGATTGTGGAAAACAGGCATTGAGGGAGATGAATGAGTGATCTCTTCAGCAGCGACCCCATTCCTCTAAAACTTTGCTCACATGACTAATGCCATGTTCTTTCAGCATCCTAGTAGAGTTATCTTACAGCTGTTCAGAAATTCATCATGCAGCATCAGGCTTGTTCATTGCATAGTACATCATTCCTCAGAGCTTGGCTTTTAGTAAGAAGGTTTCCACTGCAGCTTTTGATGCACACACATTCAAACTACAGAGAAAATTCAAAACAGCATTTTCCCATGTTTTCCCTCTAACTCTTCCCAACACATTCTTTAAAGTTGAAAAGTTGGACAGCAAAAGAAAAGTGAAATAAGTTACCAAAACTGTGACAGTCTTTCCAGTATGCCTACTTTCTTATTTTTTAAGGAAATTATAGAAAAATAAAGGGCATTTGTGAGACACGCTGACAGTAGGTGAGGTTGAAAAAGCAGGCCCATTTTGCTGTAATTATAGCTGTTTTGAAGGACTTTTTATAATCAAATGCTGTAGCAAAACACACTGCTCAGAAATTCCCAACTGCTCCATCATTGGTTAGCAACAGTCCCTGGTTTTCATTTATTTCTGACCATATCTTGTCAACAGTCAATAATAGGATAGGACACATTTATGGAAATTAAAAAGAAATCATCCTTAAGGGCAAAGAAGGCTGGGAAGGAAAACTTTTTGTACCATTTTCATCAGAATTAAAACAATAAAGTTGGAAATTTAAGGCCTTCTCTTCAACAGGGGAAGGACACAATGGCATTTCTCAAAAGCAATAACTTTCAGGGACTGTTTTTAACTATTATTGTCAGTTGTTCTGGAGATCATGCATCATTTGAATATTTCACATCATTAACATGCAGGAAACAGGCCTGGACCTGGAAATACAAGTAGCAGAAAGGACTTGCCACAAGGGTTTTAACAAGTATATAAGCAACTGCGTATCAGAGCAATAACTTTTGGAAAGAAAGCATGCTGTTACTCTTCATTCCTTTTATACAGTCAGTTACATTCACACCAAATACAATACTCATTTCAAATAAAACAAAACACGCATTATTAGTAGGGATGACTAGTGACGAGATCAAAGACAGCACAGAAATGACTCTAAATGGTTCAGCCACACACATACCATTTTCTATAAAACTTCCATAAACATTAACAGAAAATGGGAATCATCAGAGAGACAGGGGGACCTTAAGAACAGCCTCTGGGTGTGTGTTAAATTTATTTGACACCTGTAGAACCTGTATAAGAATCAACTTACTTCTATTCCTAGATGTGTTATAACTGTTGAATAGAATTGTAATTTGATACTGGTGAAAACAAAAGTTGGGACATAAAGGAAACTACTTTCCTATTTTCAATTGTATAATAAATAGGGAAAAAAAGAGAAGACAGATCCTTGTACTTAATATGATGACAATCACACAACATTTGTAAAACTAATCAGTAAAAATATCAGGGGAAGTTTTAATGGACCTTAAGTTAAGACTGCTTAAATAATTTACAAAACAAGGCACATATGAACTACTCATTAAGAGCAAAAGGAGAGCAAAGTTTCTTTCCATTACTTATAAAGTAAATAAATACTTCTAGAAACTTTCAGATGCAATTTTTCTCAGAAGGCAGTAGCCTTCCTTTCTATAAAAGAAAGAATAGCTCCCCAGATGTCTAAGCTTCCCACAATACCTTACTTTCTAATCTGAAAAAGTCAAAAAGTACAGTTAAAATGTGTAGATTGTCTGGATCTGAAGTGTTACTTAGAGTTCAGAAACAGTAATGGGAAATATTTCCAGCTGCAAAAATAAGCAAAGGAAACTGCAGATTATTCTCTACCTAAAATGTCAAGGAACAGATCCTTTATCTTTTTTTTCTCCTTTTCTTTCTTTAAAGAAAGCAGAACAAAGTATTCCTTCTTCTTTCCTGATTTTTCGTAAGCCACAGGCTGTGCCCCATCCTGGTGCTGCTCCCGTCACTGCGGCGCTTTTCCCTGGGCTCAGCGCAGCCAGGGTGGAGCTCCGAGGACATCTAGTGGATCTCTCTCAGGCAGCAGCTGCTTAGGAGCAGGAACCCGAGGCTTCCTGACCACCCAATGGTACAAAAAGGTATAAAAAGGTCCCAAGACACTTCAGAATTGAAATGCACAGTGTTATTTCAATTCGTCAAGTTCTCATGATCCAAAGTATGAGTGAAAAATCATCAGCATTAAAGGCGACCAGACTGGTGATCGCCTGCCAGCAATGCTGGTTAGCATCATGAGACTCAAACACAGACAGGACTTCCCCCAGCACAGTTTCAGTTTACTGAAAAATACAGCAGCCTACCTTAAACTGCTTCTGAGAATTTATTCACCTTAACACAACAGGAAAATCTATCTCTCCATTATTTAATTTTTACAAGACTAGCAAGGGGGCTTGTTCACTCTCTTGTAATTTTTTCCATCAATGACAACTGGTAACTTGTTTGCTCCAATTCAAAAGATGCTGTTCTATGTCAAAACTATAGAAACAGCAGGAGATCCTAGTGGACATCTTGCCCTGTTTTATCAGATATAAGAATATAAGAATGACTCACAGGTTTTGATGTAATAGCACATTTATAGACCAATTCACTTTAATTTTCAAATCTGATCATGACCTTTCCTTCATTACCTTACAGAAGACTCTCAGCCAGTGTACTCTCAAAGCAAACTACATTTCTAAACAAACTTAAGCTATTGGGGAAATGGAAAAAAAAAAAACCAAAACTACGTGACCTTTTCTTTTCTAATTCTTTCACAGCATGAATAACTCCATTACTTATTTATTATCATTTAAATGAATTTCTTTAGTTCAGAAAGGTCTCAACATAAGAACATATTTTAAATAAAAATTGCTTACAGTATTTTGCCTCAAAGTCAATAGGATTCACCATTCCATCCATGGAATTTGTTTTACTGTTGATTCTTATCACGCTGACCTGTTTCACAATCTGCTTTTTCCTGCTGCTTCATCTTTCTGCTGTGTCATTTTATTAGCTAAAAATAGATGCTTGAAGAAATTTCTGTTCTGTCCTTGAATATTTTCTTCCACAACAGGATCTCAATCCTTTAGTGTAGTTTGCAGGCACCACAATAAAATAAATAATAAATAATGATAATCATAATGCAGGCATTAATCATAATGCCACCATAATTTCAAGAAGGCCAGAACTTTATCAAGAGCATAAATTATTCCTTGATTCTTTGCAAGAGCCTACAGTGTGTAGAGCTGAGAGGGGGAAAATATCTCAATCCTGATTAAGACCTGAAGTGTTTTTACACAATAAATTCAGAATATCTGGTAAAATGTTGAAGTTCCATGGCCTCCTTCACTTAGAATAGCTGCAGCTGCACAGTAAATTTACAGCCTCAATCTGGCACAGCAACGCTGCTCTGCAGCTATGAGATACTCGATCCCCCTTGCTCTTTGAAAGAACAAGCCCACATAATCCCAACACTGCCCTATAACCAGCACATTTCTTTGTAGCACTTGTATTTCTAAGCAGCAAATTCTTTCCATGTCCCAAATGCTGTATTTACCATGAGTGTACACACAAAGTGGCTGATGAGAGCCTTTATAGACCCTGCACACTTTCAAGTGGTATGACCTAGATTGATATGAAGTGGTCCATAAAGCTCATATTATATATGTAATAATACTGTTAAACTTCACAGCTAAGGCCCTGAAAAGTCAGTGTGTGTCTACTTATGTAAGTAGTGTCAAAACCAGCAAGCTCAGGAAAATAATCACTGCAGCTTGTTTCCTGTTGAAGGTATCTCTAAAACCACACTTTTAATTCATTGTCTGGCTTTCTCCCATAACTCTTTTTTTTTCTGTCATTGGGGAGAAAGAAGTTAGATAAGGACAATAAAAAACTGCTGTGCTACTCTTTGTGTCAACTGTGCAATGGAAAGGACAAAGTATCAAAAAAATAAACAGGGACCTGACAATTAAATTGTATTTAACCAGGCAAAGAGTGCTATAGTGGCAATTACCCCAGCCTAACCAATATCCCTAAAAATTCATGAGATATCCCTAGAATAATTTCAAGGAAATACTATTGCCAAGATCTAATTTTCATTTAGGGATAAAAATAAGTTTGTGGAGAAAAAAAGGGCAAATAGGTGGAAGAAGGGAAAACTGCTGTATTTTCTTCAACGTCACCCTAATCTCCATTGGTGTAAACAATGAGAAACTTGTGGGTATGACGTCACTGCTACATGCAACATAAATAAAGAAAAGAACCAAAATACTGAACAAAAATACTCTCTGCTAGAGAAAGACAGGTTGGACCGCACTCTGGGCTACAGGGAACCCATTTTTACTCACAATAGATCACTATCAGTGTGCAGTTAAAATATAGTAGGGGCCGTGTTCCAAGGCAGCAAGAGGAAAAATAAATCAAAAGTTTGTCAATTGTCATAGATTACAAGAAATTCCTTCAAACACATCAATGTACACATGATTTGTCCCCTCTGGGGTTCAACCCCCACCGTTCACAGCAAGCACTGTCACTGGAAAAAATATATAGAGAATTAGACCATAGCTGTTGCACAAAATGAAAGGAACAGGAGGAGCAGGTCATCCAGTTTAGAGATTTCATCCCAACGTGGTAGCATTTTATATAAATATATACATATAGTTGGCCTCTTGCTGCAAAAACTACAGTTAACTGGAATAGGAAAGAGATTGAAAATATTAAAAAAAAATTAACAATCTGTGAATAAAACTTCCACACAAGTAATTCTTTGGACAATATGCCATCAGCATTTATGTGTTATTCAGGGAGTGGGATGGGTAAGGAGAAAGGGATGGCAAAGAAACTGCAAAAGGAAAGCAGGATTACATGAATTATCCTTGGCCTTGTAGAAATGTACTGATCTGCCCTGAATTATTAATATTAGGCCTAACGAGTTTGGACAAATGGCTATGTAGGTCAGACTCACGTTTAGACCCCAACAATACCGCAAGATAATATTCAGAAAGTATCTAAACTGAAGTGCAACCTCAGATGCATTATTAAAGAATGTGAGTTAAGCATTATGGGAAACTGCATTAATTAGAGCCACCATTAAGTTTTCCATTTCTTTCACATTCAATTCACCTGAATGTGTCAATATTTTTATATACAACCTTTCCTTTCATCTTACATATTTTCCACATTTAGTTGCCTCTAATTACTATGTTACTTGCTCATTAAAGCATGTATTTGTCATATAGAACTATATATGCATATGTATGCAGTGTCAAAAATCAAATTGGCATAGTGATGTATTAAATGTTGACATCGCAGTTGACAGTTGTCTAAGTCAATAGGGAGAAAGTTTTCTCAATTCATACTTTGTTTTAGTTAGAATCGCATTTTTAAGACCAATGATTTGCATCATTTACAGATGGATAACTCATCTAAGTTTTTTCAAAAGTGATTACAGATTTGAAAGCTAAAACATTTTATGTGACTAACATTCTGCACTGAAGACTTACCTTAAAAACAAACCCAAATCCAAAAAGCAGGTCCCATAAAAGGGATTTCAAAATTGTCAACAAAATTTGAGAAACAAAAATTACTAATTACTATTGAAATTTTTCCTTTCATTTTTTCTTTAAAAGAAAAGTAATTGCCTTATTTCTAATACTTGCGAGCATGCTCCTCATTGAAAGCTGTTCTCAGCTCTACTAGAGGCTGCCTGTTCTCATGGTATCTGTGACCCCTTGTGTGTCTAAGAAACAGGAGGAGGGAGGGCAGACTGAGGAGAAGGGAGATGATTAAAGGGAAATTTAAGATGTTATTCTCACTGACCATTATTCTTCACCTGACCCAGAGGATTCCCTCCTTAGTGTTCAGTGCTCACTGCACCAGCTGAGAGCCACCTCCTTCTTCTGCCTCACTAACTCAATCATTTTGTTTGTTCATCTGCCCAACACCCTTTCATTTATTGGACTGATATGTGTGACCATGCCATTTGTAATCCTTCCAACTGCTACTCACAGAAATTGTTACTCTTGCCTCTCCATGGCCTTACTGCTGGTAATACCCATTGTCTTGGCTGGGTCATACCCTGTTTCCTCCCAGGTTTCAAACTACTGAGAAGGTTACCTTGATTCTCATAATTAACACATAATAAGAAAGGGCTCTTTACCATTATAATGTGAGTTCCTGATTCCTATCTTCTAGCAGATGACAAGGAAAAGTGTACTTCTCATGTTAAACTGAGAGATCTTTGGGATTTATTTTTTTTTAAGCAGGACATGTTTAAAAAGCATACACCATGTGAAGGAGGAGATTTTTTTTTAAGCAGGACATGTTTAAAAAGCATACACCATGTGAAGGAGTAAAGAAGAAAATAGAAATAAAATAGGGGTTTTTTTAGTTTTTTGTTTTGTTTTGTTTTTTCCTTACAGAACCAGATAAAATTAAGCAGGTAACATATTTCTCTTTAACTGTTGAGTAATTTCAAAAAAGATTTCATTTGAGAGTCACAGGCACCCTGAGGCATCTGTAACTGGCTTTACCAGAACTTACTCAGCAGACTCATTGGCTTTGGCAGCAGTTCAAAGGTCACATTCTCACATGGATAAACTGTTCTTGAACAATTTTTTTCCAATATGTTAGGCAATGCATACATTCCTTCCACATCAGGCATGCTTTCCATGTGCTTTGCTCTCCTTGTGGCTACTGGGAAGATAAATACCATTTTCTGTCAGTTCCAGCTGCTTTCTCCCTATCATACTATTGTTCCACACTCTTGGTGTTTTGGAGGAGAGGAGTTTTTTTAAAATCTCCAGCAATAAATTTTTTTCTTTTTAAAATGATCTTCAAGAGTTCATTCATTTCAGATACTCCAAAAAGGCAGAGAATTTTCAGCTTAGGCTTTCTTCCATCCTCTGTAACAGTGCACCAATACCACAGACTCAAGCTATAAATAAGAGAGCTTTTTCCCTTTTAAAAGTAATGGTAAAATAGGCATGATCAAACTCTTCTGAGATCGTTCAATTTACCTAATCAATACTTTTAAACTGAATTATCTTTGTCATGGCAGAATACCATGGAATGCACATAAATATTTAGATAATCAAAGAGAAATTGATTCCTAAGTAATTTTACTATTGGTATTACAAATATGCATGGGTCAAACACATCTTGGGTTGAAGTGTGGTTGTGATGGCTCCTGGAAAAGGTCTTTTCAAAGTATATATGGGTAAAATGCTGATTGCTACATATTTATAGAAATTCAGATAAAAAGTCTCATTTCCATTCAAACACTCAATTATTTCTTCATTAAAAACTGTCCAAACAGTTTAAGAACTTAACTAAACCTAATATTAGCATTAAAGCTAAAAGGATATATGTAAGAGATGTTAATAATTAATTTCTTCCAGACAACCCTTTCCTCCAGTAAAACTGCTCATTTATTAAAAAAAAAAAAATGTTTCAATAGCTATATGATAAAACAGAATTTCCTAGTTTCTTCTTTTGCAGAATCTGCATGTTTTGAATGAAAGAAAAAACTTCATTGTTGTCTAATTCTTAACTCAGAAACCTCCACTGTTAGATTTGGCTTCACTTAATTCCTCAGTTTTTGTTAAAATTTTAATTTACTTTTTAATGAAGACACAGGTGTGAGTGGTGTGTATGGACTTCAGAAACTCAAACAGCACTTACTATGTTTCTTAGCTTTTCTGCACCACTGTGTAAAACATGTAAATGCATGTACAGGTATTCTTCAGGGCTGAACAGTTCATGAAGAGGAGAGGAGAGGGAGGGATAGAAATATTACTTACGCCGTTTGCAGCCACATTTTTTTATCCTTTTGGGATCTGTGATGTCATCATGACAGGCTTTGCAGTAAAAATATGCCCTGGAGAGACAGAATGGAAAAACTGACACATTTCTTAATCCATAAAGTTGATATTAGTCCCATATTTCATCATGTTGCAGTGACCAATTAATGAAACATGCTAGTGCTAATTTACTTTAATCTTTGCAAAGGTTTGGACATTTATGGTAGGAAATATTTGATGCAAGACCATTACTTTCAAACATAAGACTCCAAATTAGTATATCCTTTAAAACACTTTTATTTGAAAAGTAATTGGAAGAATGTATGATAATTATGCCACAGTATATTACTTTATTTGTTTTTCATCTTAGAAAAAAGAGCATCCAATGAACCTCGTCACAATAAAAGACCTTTTTTTTTTTTTTGTTCCTATCAGCTATACTAGGGTGTTTTTTTTAAAGACTGTCTAGCACCCTGTGCCAACTTTTCAGGTTGTACATTTTGATCATTACTGTATGATCAACATTGCACATTTATCTTAAATAAGGATAGAAAGGATGACCCTGAGAACTATCGGTCTGTCAGCCTCACCTCTGTGCCTGCAGAGATCATGTAACAGATCCTCCCAGAAGCTGTGCTGAGGCACATGGAGGACAGAAAGGTCATTCAAGAGAGCCAGCACAGCTTCACCAAGGGAAAATCCTGCCTGACCAACCAGCTATGATGGAATGACTACATCAGCAGATAAGGAAGTACTGCAGATGTCATTTATCCAGACTTCTGTAAAGCCTTTGACATGATCCCCCACAACATCCTTCTCTCCATACTGGAGTGATGGATTCCATGGGTGGATTAGGAATTGGTTGGATGGTCACATCCAGAGGGTAGTGATGAATGGCTCGGAGTCCACTAGTAACAACTGCTGTCCCTCCAGGATCTGTACTGCGACCAGTTATTTAATAAGCGTTATTTAATACCTTCATTAATGACACAGAGGCATCAAGTGCACCCTCAGCAAATTTTCAGATGACACCCAGCTGACTGGTGCTTTTTAGTACCTGAACGGAACGTACAGGTAATAGGAGGCAAGAGTATCTACAAGAGCATGTAGAAACAGGACAAGGGGGAATGGGTTTACATTGAAAGAGAGTACACTTAGATCAGACACTAGGAAAAAGATCTTGTCTATGACACACTGGAAAGGTTGCACAGGGAAGTTGTAGATGCCCCATGCCATCGCAAGGAGAAACACGGAAGTGAGAAAGGATGAACTTTTTACTTTATATAAGATTTTGTAAAATTTCTGATTTAATGAATATGCATCAGACTGCCCACAGGACAGTTCAATCATGACTGCCAAGTCAACATGTCATATAAGGCTGCCATGACACATTTCATGAGGATCACCCAGCTGGACTCTAGCAGGACAGTTACAGTTTACCAGGATTCTTGCTGGCACAGCAAATAAAACATACTATTTAACCTTATGAATTTTCCTTGCACTTGTCCACACTCAGGATAGGTCAGCTCCCTGCCTATCTTCTCTAGCCCCTCTTACTGCACATTTCTCAATACAATTTGGCAGTAAGAGGCAAAGCCCCTACTTTGCAACCACCAATATATTTTGCTGACAGTATGAGATCATTAGATTGCTACAACAGCTGGGAGACCACTGAAACAAAACTATCTACAATCCAAAATATAAAAAAAAACCAAAACCAAACCAATATTTATATACAGCCTCTGATTAAACACAGCCTTTGGCCCTGCAGCCAGGATGATTACTACTATTTCTTCTAGATTAACTATAGCATGGCCACTGCAGGTGGAACTGTACTGGTAGTTAAGTGACCCATCACGACAAAAACAGCAGGTCTAGCATAGAAGAGACAAACCATATCAGTGCTTCATATTGGTTCAAATACAAATTAAAATTGCAGGGAGACCTCACTGAATGCTATTAACATTTCTAAAATCAATATAACATGAAGCTACCAGTGGAATATATAAGTCCTAAACCTAGCACACTTTATTTCTCTAAGAAACTTACAGGAAGATTACTCTTTCAGGCTGTGAAATTGCCTTAGTATTTCCAAGATGCAAAACGTAAAAGGAAAATGTCTTCTCTGAGCACATATACTTTGCTGCAGAAAGTTTCTGGTCTTCAAAATATTCACATTCCACCAAAAGAAAATAAACTACTTCCAAGGAAATGAGAAGACAAGAAATGTTTTTCAGACTGTGAGTCGATGTCAAGATGTAAGCCAGGAGGAGAAAGCTGCCTCAAATTTTTACTATTTCTCTTCAGCCCAGCTGTAAAGTCCCTTTATTATACAAGAATCAACTACCACAAACAGTTCCTCACAAAAACATAATTACATGAACTGGGTATTGGTGATTTCTAAAGACCATGTTTCTGAAGTTCACTGCAGGACAATTATCCTGAAGGGTACCTTCAATCTTATGTCCAAAGTAAAGAATAAATACCTGAAGTGATTGTTGTAATCAAAATTATTCTAGATAATTTGGGTAAATTAAGTGGATTTGAAGAATGTGGATTTCTGACTCTAGTGATAACATGTAAATGAACAAGGAATAATGAAGATGCAATTCAGGTAGTTGTATTATATTTAACAGTCAACATTTTATATGAAGCTATTTACCAAGGCATAACTGTTTGTAGGTATAATTGCTTCTTATAGAAAACTATTCTTCTAAAAATGCAAAATTGATTCTAACAGAAGGAGTAATTGAACATTGCAGGTTATATTTCATTGTGGGATATATAAATATGAATTACTTCAGCTTAAGGGAGTTGAAATCTCTTCATTAACAAAGCCAGAATAATTTAATTTCCATTTCAGGTATAAAACATATTTAATGATGCTTTATTAAAAATAATTTTCCCCCTCCAAAAGACCTCAATTTTAGAACATATTTCTGACTCTGATTCATAGCTCAAAGGGTGAAATTAACACTTTTCATAATTGGCTTTGTTAGTAGAAACACATCTGATAACCATTTGCTTTGCACAGAGCAGCTAAGAAATGTGGCAAGGGAGGCAAAATATTTCTAAACAAAGCCTTCTGCCAAAAGCCAGGCAGAACTGGAAATCTTGCTTCACATTTGCTATCAAATAAAATGTGGTAGATGAATGATGTGAAAAAATTGACTGAACTCCTTAATAACAGTTAACTCCTCTCTAACTTTAGCAGCTAAAAATACTATGCCATTTTACTTAGTCTGAGAAAAAGTTGATTAAACAATATAAAATATAAATGAAAGAAAACTGGCAGCTCAGTAAAGCAGTGTGCAGACAGTTCTGGATGTTCAAGGGGAGAAAAGCAGCAGAGAGGAGCGGAATGGAATGCTGCAAGGCAGAGTCCCTGAGGCAGAGCAGGAGGCACACGCTCCAGAGATGGTGCTGGAGATGTGACAGGACAGGAGCACTGCTGCCCTGCTCTGCATCTTTTACCTAGCCAAAATCTATGTCAGTTCTTTAAAGAAAAATAGAAGTCAAGTTCTCCAATGTCACTGTTTTGGTGTTTTGACTGTTTAAGTATGCATGGTTAGGTATTTCTCTATATTTTCATTTCTCTATATTTAATCCTAAAAGACTGGCACTTAATAAAGGGCATCATTTGAATACTTTATCATTTTAAGGATAGGATTTAGTTAAAATACCAAACTCATGGAGAACAGCAGTAAAAATCTGATTGCATGACTCATAACAAAGACACAAATTATGAGGAAGCACTCAGCTGCAAATATTCCTTTTTTTCTTTTTTTATATCATAGGGACACAATATTTTTCTTTGAAAAACTATTTTATCACATTGCTTTTTTGTTCCTTCCAAGCATACTATAATCCTAACAAATAAGAGTACACACATTTGGTCCTCAACACCTTTTCATTCATCCCAAATCTAGCACAGCCAGGTACATTGAGCCTGTGAAGTTGTCTGTCATGGATATAATGCACTTTTGTAGTTTGATTTATTATTATGAAGTTGTGGAGTTTGCAGTTCCATTGAAGAAAAATGAGAAGAACACAAATATTATTTTGCTAATGCAATTACAGAATGAACACAGCAGCTAACTCGCACCAAGAATTTGCTGAAGTCTGAGTAGATAAGAACTCCTCTAAACTCAAAACTAACAGAAGTGTCATCCCTGTCCTCCTCTCTCACAGAAATTCCTCTGAGACACAATATGTATAGAGAAAACAAATGAAAATATTTCACATTTTCTAGGAGAACTCACAAACCCAGTCTCTTTATTTCTTTTCATATCTGCTGCAAATTTCAGTTCCTTGATATTTAGGACAATAGTTAGGAAAACAACATGTACATAGGTGGTTCAGGAGTAACAACTCAACTCTCCCCTCAGAATTTTTAAAAAGATAATAATGAAAATTAGGTGAAGAATTTACATGTAAATAAAAAAAAAAACCCTGAAATTAAATATATTAGTTTCTATTCAAAGATAAAAACATTTCAATTACCTTTTTACTTCTTTGGCATCACTTGCAATGAAGAATCCTAAGGTACCTTCTTGAATCTTGACGTGGTTTCCAGGATTGATTAATATACTGCTCAACGAAACAAGAACAACAAAAACCAACAAAAGAGTAAGTTTATATAGATTTTAACTGAATCTTCCAAATTAGCTTTATTTGATTCTGTTATAGGGGACCCACTAGTTAGGAAAGGCTGCAAGGAAATTTTAAGCCATTCTTCCTTGATATTTCCAAATCAAATAAGAGTTTCACATGCTTTTTACCAAAAACTTGAGTTTGAGACAGTCAAATGCCTCTGCCTATAGTCACATCACCTAAGTGCTTACATGTGTTTTCTTATCTTTTTGCTTTATATAGACTACACAAAGTCCTCTCAGAAATGTGAAGTGTGAAGCTGAGCATTGCTATTTGCTTGCTCTGTCATGCAAAGTGGTGACAAATTCACAATATGGTGAACAGGAAAAAACCCTCAACCACTGCTCAATAGCAATAAAAATATCACTTATGAAACTAAACCCATTGATGCAAATTTTTGCCAATTACTAGTGAAATAGAGAGTTAATGGGACCCCTATCTGGACATATAATGTTATTGTTTAAAAAAATAAATACACACATACACTCAAGGGGAATGGTACAAGACAACCAGTCACGACAGCTGAAAAAACATAAAATGAATAGAAAATTTTTAAAACACTACTATGCAGCCATGAAAGAACAAAAATAACCCAACCACCATGACAGAAGAGCCTCAGCTAACTTTGACAAAGGAACTGCTACCAACAAGTGAGGTACTCCATGTCTAAGAAATATCTTCTTTATTTTCATAATAATTTAAATCTACACTTTAGGTAAGGTGTTTTGCAAAGCACCAAGCTAAATATGAATACACAGACAGATATAAATATATTCTTCAGTAAGTTTCATTCATGTGTAATATATCTTAGATTTGACTCTCTAAAACTTAATATAGCTTTTCAAAAGTTTTCTCTTTTTTGTCTTTTATTAAAGTTCAGCTTTTCTAACTCAAAATGTAATAATGGTATGTATATGCAATTTAGAGTAAATAAAGACTACCAGGAATTGAAACACTTGTCCATCTCGCAAAAATTGATTTTAGGGAAGTACATAGACACAAAAATAAATAAAGCACAATGCTGAACACACATACACTTCTAAAATTTGAAGGTACAAAGTTTTTCATGCTATTGATAGGAGGGAAAATGGATCTCAGTACATCTCTTATTCAATATGTTATATATTCTCTACACATTAGGAATAAATTAGTATGACAACATAATATATCTGAAAGATTAATAATGTGCACATTTTTTGTGTAATTCCACATGCCTGCAATGCCCTATGACAAGAATATGCAGTCTACAAAATAAAGTGCTCATGAGTTCAGAAGTAAAAGGTTGGTCATGAAGTCCTATTTCAGCCCCCTTTATGTGACCTTATGATACAGTTCTTAATTTAATACCTACAAACTCCTTCCTTCTCACAATCTAAAACTTAATTCGGCGATGTTTTACTGCCATTAATTCAGGCATGGCTTCTTGTAATTTATCTCTCTTAAAAATCAGCATCATATTTTTCTTGTGTGTTTTTCTGCAATGTTCATCACTACAGTATGCAAAAGATACACAAACATGTAATTTCTTTGACAGGAAGAAAGAAGATATAGTATTACCCCATTTTACAAAGGAGAGATTAAGTAACTACGAGATATAGTACTTATTAATTTGGGTTTCCTACAGGCCAAATTTTTCTAAGTGTTTAGCATTGCATAGCTCCATACAGACTTCCTAGGAACTTTTGCTGTGAGAATGCTTAGCATTTCCAAAAGCCCAGCCTCTGATTCCCAAAATAATGAATATACTTAATCAGAGGACAGCTGTAGAAGGTTTGGTTTAAATTATCTCCTTCTCACACAGATAGCCTGTGTCAGAGGCTGGAAGAGAAATTATGAATATACTTAATCAGAGGACAGCTGTAGAAGGTTTGGTTTAAATTATTATCTCCTTCTCACACAGATAGCCTGTATCAGAGGCTGGAAGAGAAATCTCAAAGAAAGCATCTACCCAGATATCCTTCCCTTTCCTTCATTCACAGTTTCAAGCTTTGCAACAAATAAAAAGGAGAGGAGAACGACAGGAACTGGAAGGTATCACCACAGAAAGCAGGTTCATTTCCACAGCACACTCTACTAATATTTGCAAAAAATGAAATGTGATGGTATAAATAGCACCAGTATTACACACACAAATAAAAGGGACAAAATAAAGTTACACAGCTAAACTAGTATCATCCATCATCAACTAGTATCATCTAGTGTCATATCTAGTATTTCTTTGTCGGTAAATTGGGCCTAATGGCTGCAGCTGCAATGAAAACTTCTATCTAATGCAGTTTTAAAATGCATTTTTACAGGTTTAAGATGGAATATAACAGATAAAAGAAAAACTAAAAAGAAAACAACTAGGTAAGAATTTCTTCATATGAAACCAGTTACTCGGGTCAAAAATAGGCTGGCAAATTCAGCTTTCCTGCAAAAGCTTTTGTCACTTGAACCCACAAAGTACTTACTAGCAGTTGCAGAGTGCTGTACTGGCCATCTTAGTCTCCACCTTTCCTCCTCCCTGCCTGCTAGGATGTAGTAACCTGCCACTACACTGAAAATTTAGCTGCTAAAATCAAAGAATCTTCTATACAGGCTAATCTCATGTATTTATGATACTGTTCCTTATAAAATATGTAGGGTCTTGTAGTATCATTTGGGTTAGGGTTTTCTTAGGTACAAATGGGTATTGCTCTATCTGAAAAATACTTTTTATTTCCTTACTTGATACTTACTTAAGTCACATAAGTGTTACAGCTTTTCAGTGAAAAAAAGATGAACACATTTCTTTACACAGACCCAGGCTGGTTTTTTTTCCCCAAATACAATTTTTGGATAGAGATAAACCATACCAAAGAGGAAAAAATATCCTACCCAAACCTCAACAACACAAACTCCACAAACTGAGGTAGCCACTAGATCTATAAATCTTCACTTTTCATAATGACGCTTAAAATTTGATCAAGTAACAAACAAATGAAGCAGTTCTTTTGAGATGCATGGAACATAGTCTTAAATTGGAAGTAACTGGCTTCATTTAGGATGCAATGCATTGTGAGCAAGATTTTGTATCTCAAGGTTTTCTGAGACACATTAAATCAATTCACATGGTCAGTGTACAGACTTTATTTTGTCAGACCTTCATTCACATATACCTCTTTTCACAAATACAATGTATTTATAACCACAAAATATAGATGTGATCACAAATAATGCAGTATGACCCCAGCAGCAAAATTTTTCTGTTGGAAATGAAAATTAATTTGCCCCATGACTGCTACTGGCTAAGAGTTATAGAAAAAGCTCATAAAGCTTTGGGTTTATATACACACCAGAGCAAAATCAGGAGTAATTTGTACTGATCTCTATGGATATATTAAATATAGTGCTATTTAAAGCTGCAACTGAATTATTTCTTATGACACCTGTAGTGTCATTAGCTGAAGTTATGCTTTGATAAGCACTCTAATATATACAGCAAGGGAAATGTTTTGAATTAGAACAGAATATAGGCAACAAACAGCACAGAGAAAAACAAAACAGTCTTCTGAGTATTCCAAGAAAAATGCATCCATGAGTTATTTAGAGATGCATTTAGAGATGTGTTTTTTCAGTATTAAAATATTAATATATATCCCCATAGTTAAGAATACAAGTACATGGTAAACTAAATAGGAGTTTTAGGAGAGATATCTTCAGCTAATGTCTCCTTTTACGAATATCCAAGGCTACAAAGGAAAAGGGGAAAAAGGAAAACTCAAGAGGTTTAATAGCAATATATATAGCTAATACATATGCATTCTGTGCCACACATCAGAAAAAAGATATTACTGAAAATGACACAGATTTTTCCAAGTACATGTTTTTAACATAAAGCAAAATTTGATTTTTTTAATCTCCTCAAGCTCATGAAACCAAGAAAGAAATGCCAAGAACTTTAAAAACTTTTAAGATCTTGATCAAACTTTGTAATTTTATAACATTTCTAGTTTAGGTTGTAGTCAAGTAATAGCAAGCTTAAAAACATGTAGTCGCAATTTCTTTTAACGACTGCAGAAAGACATCCCTCAGGACAAAACCTTTCGTGACAGGGCTCACATGATTGCTTGCTCCTTCACACATGAATGTTTAGGACACATGGCAATTAAAGCCATGTAAATTAAATATGATTTAATGTGTTCAATGGGAATTTAACATACTTCACCACCATAAACTTAGAAGTCAGTTCTATTACAATAATATTACAATTAGGAAACCACTTGTGGAATAGAATATGCACTCTGGAAACCTGTGTTTTACACTTATCTGCAAAAGTTACCCCGTTTGCTAAAGATTCACTTGGTGACTAGATGCAGGATCATGTAGCTAAGAGCAATGAAAATGCCCCACACTGAAAATGTGGATATCACCCTTGAATTCAGCTGGACTCTTAAGAATCACAGACTGAATCACAGAATGGTTTATGTTCAAAGAAACCTTTAAAAATCACCTAATTACAACTCTCATGTCATGGTCAGGGATAATTTTCACTAGAACAGATTGTTCAAAGCCCCATCCAATCTGACACAACATTTAAAGCACAGGACAGAATCATTAATATTATCTACACAGCTGAAAACGCGCTCCCAGACTGACAGAAATATTAGCAGGTGAAACACAAATGGAAATCAGTGCACATTTGAGATACACAGTTTCAAAAAAAAAAAAAACAAAAACAAAAACAAGGTCACAGAAATTCTAGACAAATGTTTATGGTTTTCTTTACATAGATTATTCAACGAAAATTTCAGATTGGACATGATGACTTTCTCACATGACAGGGGAGAATAGATATCTGTTCAAGTTTCTCACTGTGTGTTAATTGTGCTCAGCTTACTTATTGGATTGTATCTTTCTGATGTTTTAAGTATACATGCTATCGTCAGTAAAATACACATACATGAAAACATCTG